GTGTTCTTGTACTTTCTCCGCAGTACTTTTTAAGGTTTGTAAACCAGTGGAAATTTATTTGCTATAAATACTAGACTTAAATATTAAATATTCATTCAGAATAGGCTATAGCCTATTGATTAATATTATTGTGGCAGCCCAGACAAAGTCAAGCTAAGATCTCCCACACTGCAATCAATAGAGCCTGAGACTTTGAAACTTATGTATTAGGCACAGACAATCATTGACATTCAAAATGCCAAGAGGCAAAAGACTCACTGCCCTTTCAAAGCACTGTATAATCTTATCACAAGTTACCACAGCAAATAATACAATTCAGGCACCATTTTATATTGCAATACTTAAAAGAATCATTACCTTTTGTCAATATTCTTGGCACTTTAAGCAGTATTTTAAATAAATATTTATAAATATTCATAGAGTGTTAGTGTATTCCTACCCCTGGCTAAGACACTTAACACAAAACCCCAGCTAAGACACTATATATGTATCTATATATAATTAAAAGGCAACATGGCTTTGAAAAAAATACAGAAAAGGGATGCTGAATATTGAAAGTCCTTTCAGGCACTAACTGCTAGTAGGTCAATAACAATCTATTGGAAACTACATGTCAAATGTACATAAATACATATCATATACATACAAATACACAGAAATATATGTATATACTCATATGCTTCCAAACTGAAATGTGGAAATAAGTAGCTAATGTGTTTCCAAACTAGAGAGGATCCCCTGCAGATCTAATCAAATGATCAATAAGAAAAACAATCACGCTTACCAGAAACCCATCTCTGTCGCACATTCCTTCTCACAGGAGATCCAGCTGAAGGGGGCATGTGATGTCCCCATGTTTCCCCTGTTACGCTCTGTTTTAAAATGATATCAAAAAATGAATGGAAAAGCTCCAATCAGAAGAAATTCACTGTATACATTCCAAGGAGGTCAACATAGTGGTCCTTGGATTTCACATTGTCCCGGCTAGCCTGTGCACTTGCGAAGCAGAGCAAGCCTGAAGTTTCCAGTCGTGCTCCCAGATGTAGAGAGATGTAGTGATTGTTTAACACTCGCTGCAAAACAGAGGAACAGCATAATTGATGAGCAGTCTGCAAATGTTTAAACTACTTCTGTCACCCCATTATTTAAACAGGTCCTTGTTTAAACACATATACAACAGTTTTCTGGTATCAACCCTGGAAAAATTAATTGGACAGTAGAGCCACGTACTGTGTCCATGCATGGCACATTTTACAGTACATTACCTTGCTGCAGTAATCAAACAATGGCTCTATATGTCTTCACAGAAATAAGTGGTTTGGTTTTTCTTTGATTTTTTAATACAATCATACAGTATACAGTAGCTCAGTTTTACATGCAAAGAGCCTCAATCTCTAAAACACTTAATGGACAATGCCAACAGTCCAAATTAGTGTGAAAAAAAAAAGATTTATTTAAAGGATACATTCAAGGATACAACTAGACCAGCAAGCTATGACATATGGGGAACGCTAGCAGAGCATTGGACCATTGTGGCATCATGTCAAACAGGGGAATGTTATCGTGCCGTAGTTCAAAGTTCAAAGGTATTTGGATTCCAGGGAACCAAGAGGCTTGTTCTCTCCCAAAGCCCAGCAAGAAATATCCCTGTTACACTCATTACACACATTGAGCCAAGGTTGTAATGTTTCATACATTCATACACAATATGTATTTTTCAATTTTTATACAAATAGGTATGGAAGATCCCCCCACTTCAGGATGGACATTTGGGGACCTTCACTGAAAACTACTCCACACTGCCACAACAACAGCAATAAGAATTACACTTATATACTGTAGCATTTCCTGGGTTTCCTTTCATTTTCTGGACACTCCACTCAAAGCTCTTTGCAGGTAATGGGGACTCCCCTCCACCACCACCAGTGTGCAGCCCTCAATGGCAGCCATAGTGAGGACAAAGTAATGATGGGGATTATTCAGAGGCCATGACTGGTAAAGTGGTTTAATGACCACAGAGAGTTAGGTCCTTGGTTTTACATCTCATCCAAAGGACGATATCATTTTTATATGTCTATACTTATGCATTAGTACACACACAGACCATAGGGTGAGCGCCCCCTGCTGGCCCCACTAACACTTTTTCCAGCAGCAACCTTAGCTTTCCCAGGAAATCTCCCATCCAGGTAGTGGCCAGGCTCACACCTGCTGAACTTCAGGGGCTTTCCAGTTATGAGTTTGACGGTATGATATAGCTGCTAACAAGACACAAGCTGCATTACAAAAAATATTAGGATGAGCAGGAGCACACAAACCAGACTCTAACCACACTCACACACTGGCCTGTTCAACAAAGTAATTCTTTGACAGTTTATAAACCAAACAACCCCACTCTGAAAACACTCTGCTCTGATCACTGACATTGAACTGAGGGTCCTTTCTCATTCCTGGAGGGGGTGGGGAAGGAATGTGGTAAAGAGCTGGTGCATGTGTGTTGAGATCTATCACAGGCCTTTCTTGTTCACCTGTTGTCCTTGTTCTGGAACAAGAAGTCTTTTTCCTTGTACTCTGGTATGTAAATCAGTTTGTCTGTGCATCAGTTGTCTCGTATCTGTCTTACCTGTTGTGGATCCACACTTTCATCATGTGTCAATCTGCTTGTCCCTCCATGTTGTATCAGGGCTGCAGAGCCTGTCTCACCCCTGGTTTAAATGGAGGCTGGGGGTGGAGCTTAGGGTATTTAACCTGGTCCTCAAAATGTGGAAGGGTAACCTTGTCTTTGTAGGGGGTAACCCTGTCTATGTGATTGCAATGGCAAATTGCCATTTACTATTTTGTTGAATGTATTCCTTTTTGTATCTATTTTAAGC